AAGTGCTTCTCAGATAAGGTCAAATTCAAGGAGTTCATCATCACCAAGCCCTTATTATATGAAATGCTAAAGGGACTTATCTAAGAAAAAGAAGTTAAAAAAAACATGAACAGTGAAAGGACAGCAAACTCACAGTTATTAACAACCACACCTAAAACAAAAGCAAACTAAAAGGACAGCTAGATCAGGAGTGGAAACATAGAAATGATCTCAAGGAGGGTTAGCAACAGGGGAGTGGGAGGAGGAGAAGGGGGGAGAAGGTACAGAAAATAAGAGGCATAGACAGTAGATAGAAAATAGATGGTGGGGCAAGAATAGTATGGGAAATATAGAATCTAAAGAACTTGAGACACATGGTCATAAACTAAAGGAGGGGTAATGGTGGGGACGGGGGGTAGGGTGGAGGGAAATGAAGGGGGGAATAGAACAACTGTAATGGCATAATCAATAAAAATAAATAAATTTAAAAAAGAAAAAAAAAGAAACATATTTTCTGAAGGCTGTCAGGTGATTCTGCTGCCCTCTGAAGTCTGAGAGTCTGCATGACTAAAGCACTCTTTTAAAAATATGGATGGACCTGGGTTTGCAGCCTGGTTTCCCCAGCTTCTATCATGTAACCGTAGTTAGGTGACTTAACCCCTCTGTGCCTCAATTTCCTCATACAGAAGTGTGGATTGCTTCTTCCTAGAAGAGAACCGTGAGCACAAAATGAATTAGTATGTTTAAGGTGCTTTGGGTGGTGCATGGCCAATAGTAGGTGCTCAAGAATAACATATGTTGTTATTGTTATAATTACTGCAAAAGTTGTAAACCATGGGAAATTGTATTGTTAATTCTAGAGGCAGCCTGTTAGGGCACTGCCCTTGGTCTCCCTAGCACCTAACCTGACCTCATGCCTAGCAACTGTAGTAGCAGGTGTCAGAGGAGATAAGTTAGGAGCAGGCAGAGGGGAGGTGTGCTCCTGTAGAGCTGGGCCTGGTGCATCATCAATGCCCACCCTTAGCGAACACTTTGCACATCCCAGGCAATGTCTGCATGCGTTACCCTATTTGAAACACAGCTTCAGTGGCAGGGCTGGGCAGGAAAATGCCCTAGAGCCGTGGGTCTCTGGGTACTGTGGCTGCCCTGGCAGACCTGGTGTGAGGGGTGGTGAAGAGCTGTGTCAGCAGAAATGTAAGTAGTGGCCAGGCCACTATTTGAATTCACAGTTGTTGTCAAGTTGGGTGTTGGTAAACTGGGGACTGTCTGGATGTTTCTGTGAGGTTGGATGTTTGAGAATAGTCAGTGTTTCTGTGCTGGGACATTCAAAGGGGAGCTAGAGGTGGAAGTGGGGGCAAGGCAGATAGGGAAGAGTCTGGAGGAGAGAGAATTGCTATGTTAACTCAGTTGTGCCTTCGTTGCCTTCACTGGGAAAAAGACTGTGGCTCTGGGCTTGTTGATGTGGAGCCTGGGAAACAGAGCGCTGGAACATGTCAGCTAGAGTTAGAGCATGAGGGTTTTGTTAGCTTTCAGGGTGTTTGACACAATTTCTCGAATCTCCGTGATTTAGAGAATTGGCTTTGTTAGCACCGTCGTGAGAAGGCGATGGGAAGTTTTGGGAGTGCTCTAGGAAGAGAGGGACAGGAAGTGTACATTGTATAATGAGCAGGCTGTTTGCTAGGTGCTTTCAAATCATTGAATCTGATTTAACCCTCCTCTGAACTCTATGAATTAGGTATTATACTACCCTCCCCCTTTAAAAAATTAGTGGGAAAACTGGGACTCAGAAAAACTGTATGGCTTGACTAAGGTCACAGGACCAATGGCAAGTAGGAGCCTGGCCCTCGCCCCTTTCAGGTAAAAGGCCACCTCTCGGGGCATTTAAAGGAGAATATGGCAACTCAGAGGTTCTCAAATGCAATGAATGGCCTTGGGGTGTTTGGCCCCTCTCCAGACCCGCCAAATGAGACTCTAGTGATGGGGCCTGCTGACCAGTGTTTTTATCCCGTGTTCCAGGTGCTGCTGATGCTTGGCCGGGTTTGGGAACCAGTCCGCCTTTCTCTTTTCCCCACCCTCGCCCTCCTATCCTGCTGTCAGTGCTTCCCAGTTCCCAATGGGGTTATGTTGTTTGAACTCTCGGAATCAGCTCCCCTGTTAAAATTCCCTGGCAGATCTCAACCCAAACATTATCAGGAGTCCACCTGGGTATTTGGGAGGGAATTGGAGGTAGTGCTTAGGAACGTGTCTCTGAGCAAATCAAATGACACAAATAATCACCAAGGGCAATCAGCTGCCAGAAAAAGGCCAACACTTTTCTCACTCCTCTCATCCTGGGCAGACAGCTACTCACCTTCTCTGTGAAATGTGTCTTTTGAACTGTTTTTCTTGAGGTGCTTTGAGGGTTTATGTTCCACCCAGTGCACACGCCTCCCACCATTCTGGGTGTCAGGAGAAGGCAGCAGCCTCCTTGAGGGACCTTGAAGGGTGGGCGCTGAGTCTGAATCAGCGAAAACTGGAGCCGCTCACCTGTCCCCAGAAGAGGGTCACTGGAGCTGCTCAAATCTGGGCCCAGAGTTGAGTCTGAATTTCCAACACTTCAAGTAAGGCTCTTAACCTTCCTTTTAGCAGACTACCTTGCCCCAACATCCTTAGGAACCTAGATCAACACTATCAACAACAACAAAATCAATAAAAAATAGAGGCTCCTTTAAATTTTTCTATTTATTGATTTTTAGAGCAAGGAAGGGAAAGAGAAACATTGATTTGTTGATGCACTTTAGTTATGCATTTATCAGTTGACCCTTGCACATGCCCTGAGTGGGGATGAAACCCACAGCCTTGTACCAGGATAATGCTGTAACCAACTGAGCTACCCGGCACAGAGGCTTCTTTTGAGGTTTCTCTTCCCTTTACCTCTGAGGGGTTGGGAGCCACAGCCTTGCTGAGGGAGGTGAGGCTGACCCTCTTCTCAGGCTCCAGTGCAACATGTATCAGGCCCACCCACAGCTCTCCAGGGCCAGGACGTGAGTGCTCACAGGAGGAAGACAGCTCAGCAGGACATTTTTTACTTAGCCAGCTTGCCGGGGACTTTTCTGCTCTTTACTAGGTGTGATCTTGTCACCCAGCTCTGGTGAGCAGCCAGCAGGTCTGTCCTGGGTGTCGGGTGGTCTGGGATGCGGGTCTCACGTGCTCTCACTGGTCCTTAGGGCTTCTGCTCCATGATCTCTGGGCTCTGTCCTGACAGGAGCCGCCTCCTAAGGCCCCCTCTCTGTCCATCTCACTCTCGCTGCTCCTCCTTTGTAGCCAGTGTCCTTCTCTGCTGGCTCAGGCTGCTTGCAAAGGTGGTTGGGAGAAGGGGCTTCTTTGCAAAAACTGTTACTATAGCTTTTCATTGTTCTGTGGGCAAAGTCCAAAATCCTTAACAAAGACAGAGAAGTGGGGGGAGTGAGAGAGAGAGAAAGAGAGAGAGAGAGAGAGAGAGAGAGAAATAATCACTGTACTAACACGGGGAAATGCACATCAGATCTTCCTTTTAGTTCCTCCAGTGTTCAGGCCCATGGCTTTTGTGAATGCTGGGCCTTCTGCCCAGAACACTGCCCCCTACCTGCCCTGCTTAACACCTTCCCAGCCCTGGATCTCAGCTCAGATGTCCCTTCCTTAGACTGGCCCCAGACTGGATCAGTCCCCCCACCCTACACTCACTCTCATTGCATCTTTACTCCCATAACATGCACCACAGTTGGAATTTACATTTGTCACTTATTTGTGTGACTTCTAGAATAATGTCCATCTCTTCTCTAGACCTTACATTCCATGGATATGGGGAACACAAATCTTTCCTGAGCATAATGTGATGCACCAAGCAGGCTAGGCATTTGGTTAATACTTGCTGAGCCAATGAATGAAGGCTTTCAGGGGCTCGTGATAGGAATCACTGCCTGCACAGAAACTTGTAGCTGGAGACCTGGCTGGGTGCACATCTTTGCTCAGAATTACAGAGCCTATTGTTCATAATGTGGGTTTTTAAAATTAAGATTTTGTGACTATCAATATTTAAAAATAATCCCAAACTTCAGGAGACCATTGTTTCTAACTTGTTGGATTTAATTGCACCAGGCATAGAGGGAGTGACGTAGAGGCATTCTCAGCTACCACAGTGGCTACCGCAGTCCTTTAGCACCTGGGAGTGGCCTCTGGGCAGCCCATGTTCTGGAGTGTGTCTCAGAATGCTGTTGTTTTGCTTGCTTTTACTGGCAGGTCTCAAAGGTGCTGAAACAGGGCTTGGCGGGGCTTCTTGATCCTCATGTATCTTAGTCATCTACCGGTGTTGCTTCTTTCAAAGGGCACTGGGTCATGGCGACTTACCCAGGAAAACACTCAGAAGCCAATGACCATTTCCATGGGGGCACAGGTCCCTCATGCCCTTTCTCAGGCAGTACCAGTAGGTGCGCACTTTGTGACACAATGAGTGACCTCTGTATCACCAAGAAACTATTTTTCATGGCAGTGTTGGTATAGGCACAGGCAAGAAAGTCCCCCTGCAGCAAGGAATTTAATGATGCCATGCGACACTATCCATCCTCTCATATCTTTCAACTAAAAATCGGGAAAGAATGCCTTCTGATCATCAATACGACCTGGAATTTTTGCAGGTGGTGAACCAGTAGTGGATTATGAAACCAAGCATATGGGTGATCATCAGTATTTAAAAAGAAGGAAAAGAGAGAACATAGAAAAGATCAGATTGCAAATGCAGAGAAAGTTAACTACTCTTTTGTGAAACTTTTCTTTCAGGGGTGTGTGTGTGTGTACCTCATTTTATCTGGCCGAGCACCTTGCTTCTACCTGGCTGTAGCACTGAGCTCCTTACCCATAGTTAAGGAGTAGTTACATTTGTACGGTCCTAACTGGCGAGGCCGATGTGGCCCCCGGTGAAAATGAGTTTGGCACCCCTGGTCTACAGCATATCCAGCTTTGACTTTCCAATGTTATCACCATGTTTGCTTTGCTTGTTCTTGAAGGTATGCAAAATCCAGTCAGATCAAGACTGTCTCAAGCAGCAAGATATTTTTTAAAGGAAGTAGATTCCGATATAGGTGAGTACCCATAGTTGCAGGCGTTTACATTTGAATGTCTTGCTTATAAATGAGTGCACTTTGGCATATACCCCTGTTTCAGTCCTCCCTTGACGCTTCACTCACCGTTTATGCTCATGGGCACCCTCAAACTCTGTAGTAACTTCCCCTCATGGAGGGAGGGGAGGCATGGGTTCCTACGGCTGGGTCAGGCCACTGTGAGGTTTAAAAAATACATGTGCTCGTCCTTCTCCTTCCATTCTGAGCATTTGTGCTTTTGTCTTGTGCAGCGGTAAGGTTGCCAAAGAGGTGGTGGAGGCGAGCTCCAAAATCCAGAGGGAGCCTCCGGAGGTGCACAGGTGAGTGGGGTGCTCTCAGGGCTCTGGGAGGCTTATGGGATGGACAGAGGGATTTAAACACTGGCTTCACCAAATCCTCTGCGACGGGAAATAGTGTAAGGGCGCCAGCTGCCAGGCCCTATGTTGTTTTCATCCCTGGTTCCAGGCATGACACTCTTCCTGTTGCGGAAATCTCTCTCAGACAGATTTGGCTGGGCCACGGTGTGAGCACAGCTGGGTTCCATTTTGTTATTCGCTCTGTGGAGAGCCACCAGCTTGGTTTGCCCTTGAATGTCACGTGAATAGGCAGGATGTGTGTGAAGCAAGGTGGTGTCGTCCCCTGGCTGAGTCCATTGTTCTGCCCTCTTGGAACTGCCCTCTTGGAACTGCCCTCTGTTCCTCTGTTCATCAGACGTGGCTGGTTCCCTTCAGCCCCACTCCTTCTAGGCTATTTCACCTGGGGGGTGGGATGCTCACAGCTCACTGAACTCATTTCCAAGGGTCACTCGGAGGAGTGCAGGCTTACTTGGTCATTACTTGTTTAAGGGTACACATCTTCATTAAGGTGGCAGTATATGGAATCCTTAGGTATTAAATATTCTCTTGGCTGTGTAGGACTTCGTACCACCACAATGGACACAAGTCATTATATATCCTAACCTCCAACATGCTGGATATTTAAAGATGAACATTCCCATCGTTGCGCTTCCCCCTTTGAGGACAAGATCATCACAAGCTGTGTTCTTTAGGAGGTTCCTACACACTGGCACCCATCCTTTTTTCCTGTCTCTGAACTTGGAGGACTTCCCCTGAGGCCCAGATTTGCCCTGTACCCTCTCTTTCCAGAGTGACTGGGTGAGCTAGGTTCCTCTCACCTTGTCCCCTGGGGTTGTTGGGCAGGAGGAGTTCCTGCTTTTTTTGGAAGCGTGGCCAATCTGGCCTGGTATGGGTGTCCAGATGTCACTTCTCTCCCACACAGGGGGACAGAACTGCTGTGGGCAAGAGAGCCCATGCAGATAAACACAGAGAATAATTTATCCCCAGCTGTGGATGACCTGCGGGAGCAGTAACTTGCAAATCTGCTAAACCAGTCTCTCTTGCTCTGAGAAGCAGGAGAAAATTGTGGAGTGGGAAGCCAGAGCACCTTGGCTGGGGAGTGCCTTGGTGCAATACCTGTGAAGGTATTACAGCCTACCCATCAGCAATTGTCATTTTTTAAAATAGTTTTTAAAATTGCTCTTCTTCCACCTCAAATTGTGGTTGCTCAGTGCAGCAGAACAAAGAAGAGGAAATGATAAAACACATCATTTGAATTTTTCTGGTATCTAGGGGCTGGAAATGACCTTAGGATCACCTCGTCTGATTCTTTTGTTTTATAGATAAGGAGAAATTAAATGACTTAGCTAAGGTCATCAATTTGGGGACTGGGCCAGGCCTGTGCTCTTTTCTTTGTAGCATCTGCCACTGAGAGCCTCCGGCGTTCTCTCAAAGCTGGGAGGCAGACTGCCTCGGGAGCTTAGCTTGGTTTTCTTCTTTCAACATGCAGCTTCTGCGTTTGATCTTAACAAAAAGAAGTACTGCTGGGGAGTTCTCTTGATGGCACAGACACGATATAGGCAACTGTTCCTTTCTAACATGTACTTTCAGAGAGGCATACTCCAAATACATGAAGTTTTCCAAGAGTCCCATACTTACAGTCTATGGATGGTTAATGAGATCAGAAGAGAACTTCTTAAAAAGTACTTTTCTTTTAAGTTGAAATTTGCCTAACTTATGGGAATTCAGGTTTCCTAGATCAGGGCTTCTCAAACCTTAACTTGCACAGGGCTCACCTGGGAATCCTGTTACAACAGATTCTGATTCATGAACCGGGCATTTCTAACAAGCTCCCAGGTGATGTCTGTGGGGCTGGACCATGGACTCACACTTCCAGTAGCCAGGCTCTAGACAGCTGAATGTGAAAGGGGGTGAAGGAAGCAGATTGGCCTTCATGAAAAAAGTTTTTTCTGGAGTGGACCAAACTACCAGAAGAGATGGGAAATGCGGCATTAATTTATAGTTTCCCTTTTTGGGAATCTTCTAAAATGCCCAGGATATTACTGTACACAGGAACCTACAGGCCTGGACATTCTGTCTTGCATGCTCCTTGCCCTTTCACTACCCCCTTTTATGTGTACGTGAAAGCCGATTGAGTTCATATCCTCAGGATGTTCTTTGGCAGTATCCCTCAAATTTCCGATAATACAAGGAAGAATGTATTTGTTTAAATTAATGACACAGAGCAATCTGTGAGTGGACAAGCCGTGTATCTTTCTTGGGCTCGCCATATTTCCCAACACCACCTAACACATGGCCGGGCACACACTAGGAGGTCAGTACCTGTTTGTTGAGTTGCTGCATGAACTAGGAGTATGGGATGACAGCAGCACCTCTGTGACTTTCTGAGACCGGAGGCCTGTGCAAGGTACTGCCCTGGGGCCCTCTGCCTCCCAAGACGAGCCATGGCCATGTGGGTCGCTCTTCTGGTTCCTTCCCAGTAGCCAGTTGTGTGGTAGAAAATTGTTTCTCTTGAAAAATTATTTTATGTTTGAATTGTTTTGACATCTTTGATGCCACTGTCAAAAGTGAAAGGATAGCAATGAGCTCTCTTTCTCTGGAGGTGTTCAGAGATGATTGGTAGTCTTGAATGGTGACGACTAGGCTTCAGTTAGCTGTCGTTCCTCACACTTGAGATTCTATTCTTCAAAGAATGACAAGTTCACAGACTGCTACTTCTACTAAGATGTGTGTGTCTAGAGAGAGACTGATGCAGACAGACTGAGAACACTGTCTGGGATATTTCTTTCTTTTTTCAAAAAGAGAAGATGCTAACTCTAATTTTAGCCCACTGATTTTTGCTGCTGTCAAGATCCTCAATCAAAGCCCTCTGGACTGGCTACCTGGTGAGAATCACCTGCCCATCTCAGAGGCCTGGTGAGCCCAGGGAGGGTTGTGTGAGCCACCTGGGCATAGCAGCCATCATCAGGGGACACCCAGAGGTAGCATTTGCATTTTAAAACAAGTCCCTGTCCAGGAATCGTGAATGGGTTCTAATCTTGGCTGTGTTGCTCATCAGCTGCATGGTCTTGAATAAGTCACTAAACTTCTTAGATCATCAGGTTAAGTTTACTCATCTGTCAAATGAAATTTATAATATTACTTTGCCCAACTTCTAAGTTTTGTTATGGGGATTAAAATAAAGTACTTTAAAATTATATAGGGCCATACCTATGTGAGATGGTGATAATATTATTGTTGTCTCTTATCCAAAGATGAGGAGCTAGAAGCTGACAGACATGTTCACATTAAAGTCTGTTCAGATGGAGTTTTTGATGACGGGCCAGCAGCACTTCTTTCGTTCCAAAGAATGGTGCAGAAACTCCACGAGCCTCATTTTAGTCACTGTGTTTTATGCCATCATTTTAAAAAACAAATCTTAGAATACATTTGCAGTTCCCAAAGGAAACCTCCTACCTCAGTAGAGTTCTTAACCACAGTTTCATCTGTAAAACTGTGCTGTGCCAGGAGTACACGTATTCGTGGGCTGCAAAGTAGGTCAGGTGTATTTGCATAGTCAGCCGATGAGTGCATTGTAAAAGTGGAGAAACATGGTGTGGACCCTCACCTGGCCCAGGGAGACCCCAGCCAGAGCAGCCATTACCTCAGGAGCTCAGGTTAAAGGGCAGGGTGGGAGCTGATTGGAATATTGGCACATCCTTGAGAAAACTGCCTGACACGGTGGGACCTTGGATAGCCACACACGGCAGGACATTAGAGGTAGCGGACAGAGTTCCCTCTGGGACATTGCAGGATGAATTGTGCAGAAAGGCAGCGCGGAGCACAGCAAAAGCACAGGACTAGTCCGAGTCTGCGCATTTGAGTGCCTTTAGTCAAGTCATAACCTCACTGAGTGTCAAGTTCCTCATCTGTGAATATGGCATTTTTCTTGCCTATCTTACAGTGTATACAAATCCATTTGTAAACTAAAAAAGGCCCATTTGAATCCTGGTGTTATATTTATTAGAACAACTGTACTGGTGGGCTCTTGAAGCCAAAAGAGAGTTAGGTGAAAAAATAAAAAAAGGTAACCTTGAGTCTAAAGGAGTCGGTAGGAAAAGGTGGGAGTCTTGCATTTTCATCAAATTTTGCTTAGTCCTTCCCTCTAGCTGTGCTAGTGCCTGGTATTGAGGTCTGCAGCCCTGGATTCTTGGTGCTTCAGGGAAACGCCTAGTTGTATCTACCTTCGGTTTTATCTGAGTCTTGTACTTACCAGGGAAGTAATGTTCATCCCTGAACCACAGAATTGGATAGTCTTAGGGGTGCAATCGACCATAGGGGCCATCTGCCTCACTCTGGGCAGCACCTATAAGCCTGGACCCTAGCTGTGAATTTCTGCTATAGCAAAGCCCCTGTGAGTGTAGGGGCTGGGTCAGCATTCTCCTGACCATGTAATGCCAAGCAGGTGTGCACCTGAGAGGTCACTCCTAGGGAGCTCAGCCTGTCCCAGCACTAGGCAATGCTCAGACACTGAAATGTTGGGTAGCAAGCAGCAAGATGCTTCTTATCTCCAAATGAAGAGTGTTGTGTGTGTGTGTGTGCGCGCGCACACGCGCGTGCATGTGGTGGTGGGGTTATGAGAAGCAAAAATCCCTCCATAAAGGATCACTGCGTCCCTCCTTGTTATAACTTATGCAGTGAGTTCTGGGGAGCAGGACTGCTGCCAGCAAAGCTGGCCTGGATGGTGAGCAATAAAACACAGCGACTCAGAGCTAGTTTGTGCGAGAATGGACTAAGTCAGCTTTTCAGAGGTCAGAAAGCTATTACATGGTTCACTCAAACATGACAACATGCCATGTCTCTGCAGAGCTAGAATCACAGTCATGAATGGCCACAGGTCCAGAGGAAATCCCATGGAAGCTTCAAAAATGGGACCCGTTCACAAAGAAATAAGGAACCGCTTGTGGGAAATTTTAATCTCCCCTCCTTACTCCTTCCTTCTTACCTTCTCCCTGCAAGCAATTTGTGGCTGTGAGCACTCCCATGCTTACTGGTGCTCGCTAGAGGCATTGCCTGCCTCGTGGGGTCAGTCCTGAGTGTCTCCTCCCTCATGTCAGGATCGGGCGCCTCCCTCAGTGTCTCCATGGGACTTTTAGCCATCGGCCTCCTCCATGAGATGCATGTTTTTCCAGTTGTGGCTGTTGCACATTAACAAGTCATGAAGTAAAAACAGAGGTCAAGACCACTTCAAGCAAAATACAACCGACTAGAAAAAAGACCCCAGTGAATCACACATAGCAATAGCTACTATTGCTGCATGAAACATTTGTTTTAGTTGTATGTCTTCCTGCATGTGTGCATGTATTTGTGTATACAGAGAGGTGGTATAAAATGTATTTCTGATCGTAGGTCTCAGTCCAAAAAGTTTGAAAAATGTTAAGTTACATAGGCGAGCACCACAGTTCCCCAGAACAGGGCAGACTGCCCAATACATACATACCACAAAATAAGTAATTATAGAATGAAATAATAAAGAAAGGGACTCTGTGGTTAAGCAAGACCTCGTAAACTTCCTTTTCAGCCAGTGCCAGCTGTGGAGGGTTTCAATTCAAAATGCTAATAGGCATCCTAATCTTCCCCGACGCCCCATCCCCCCTTCCCAACAGAAATGCCTCCTGGGGTAGAAGGCAGTCCTGTCTACAGGCCTGGAGAAACCCTGGCCAGTCTGAAATGGCAATTAAATCAAGCCAGGATTACAATTAGTTTCAAACCTGAACAGCCCTTCAGGGTGCCACTTGAGGAGCTGTAAGGTGAAAGAGAATGGCTAGGTCAGTCTCTACCCTGAAGGAGTTTATCCAGGTGGGGCTCAGTGGGATTATACCACCATAATTACAGAGAGACAGAGGTGAGTTGTAAAAGAAGGGAGAGTGGAGTGAGCAGAGAACAGAGTGCGTTGTGAGGCCAATGTAGGAGGGTGTGAAGGGGAAGGAGACATTGATACCATCTTTGAAGGATGGGTTGGTTTTGGTTTTGACAGACACCACGGGGAGAGGAAGGGTGCTCAAACATCCAGTAGAGGCGCCCATCTCCCTCTCTGTCAGGCCAGACAGCTGGTCCCTGCAGCTGGCAGAGTATATGGGCTTCCCAGCTGTCAGCCAATAGTCTCGACGAGACACCTACATGGTTTCCTGGCCATCTGCTGTCTGACACAGCCACTGACACGTGTGTGTCCTCCTTTCAAATGGAAAAAGCAGAGCAGGGATCTGTGGCTGGTTGGGGACTGGGGTGTGAGTTCGAATGGGGATGTTAAATATTGATATTAAATGTTGGACATCCAGTGACACTATAGTAGCTCATAGCTATGAAACATCTGTGCCATCTGACTGTAGGGGTTGTGTGTATGTGATTAGTAAATTAGTCTGAGCCGTGCCTTTTATTCACTTTTCTGTGTTTAGTTCAATGATGCCTGCCTCCCAGTTCTTTTTCAAATGCTTATGGTGTCACCTATCCTCCTCAAGTCTCATGACATACAAGAAAATACATTTTTCTTTTACTACATTGCATAAGAACACATGGACATTTTGTCAGGGCCTAGTTAAAAAGGGCTATGTGTCTTCGGTGTAATGTCACCTTTCACTGCCCTAATCCACTGTGAGAGTCTAGAGGCAGTTTCCAGCTTGCACAGCCGACTGAAATGCAGGGGCCAGTGTTTGCAATGGAAACCAACTCTATCTGGCTTGTGTCTGTTTTCAGAGCCAACATTACCCAGAGCCGTAGTTCCTACTCCTTGAACAAGCAACTCATCATTAACATGGAGCCCCTGCAGCCCTTGCTGCCTTCCCCCAGCGAGCAGGAAGAGGACCTTCCACTGGGTGAGGGTAAGTACATTTCCAGAGGCCACCATTGCAAGCTCACCCTGGAGGAATGGGCAAGGCACCAATTCTGGGTATGCTGGGTAATGGTTGGGGCGGGGGTTGGAGTGAGTCATAAACTGTGTTTTTAGTAAATAAGCTGTTTGCAGCTAGAAGACTGCATTGTATTGAGAGTTCTATCACTTTCTCCTGGAAGGTATTGGTACAAAGCATCTGTGAAATTACACGTTAAAGCAGCAATAATAGACCTATGCTACCCAATATAGTGGCCACTGGCTGCGTGTGGCTATTGAAAGCTAAGTTTAAATGAATCGAAATGAAAAATTTGGTTTCTCAGCCACATGAGCTAGATTTCCACTGCTCAGTAGTCAGTCACATGTGGCTAATGGCTGCCAGCTTGGATAGCTCAGACTGAGAACATTCCATCATTGCAGAAAGCTCTACTGGAAGGTCAAGTTTTTGACTATTATCACAATTAAGTTAGTGGTTACAAAGAATAATCCTCCAGTGTCTCCACACTTGTCACCCCCCTTCTGTTCCAGTGTTTCCTCAGCCTCTTATTCCCTTTTCCATGAGTTCTTGTCTACAAGCTAAATGTGTAGAGCTTCAACCCAAAAGTTCTTATATTTTTAAAGACTATAATATATGTAATTCTAGGCTTTTTTTTGATGATGCTATTGCAGTTGACCCGATTTCCCCCCCTTCGCCCCTCCCAGCCTGCCCCCCACTTCCATAGTCAATCTGTGTACATGGGTCCTTCTTATATGTTCTTTGACTAATCCCTTCCCCTTCTTTTAACCACTCCCCACCCCTTACATCTGTCAGTCTATTCCACGATTCAATGTCTCTGGTTCTATTTTGCTCCCTAGTTTATTTCGTTCACTAGATTCCACTTAGAACTGAGATCATATGGTATTTCTCTTTCACTGACAGGTTTATTTCACTTAGCATGATTTTTTGTACTTTTAAGAACTTACTTCCAGAAAGAATCTCACCATACTTGCTGCAGTTACTGGTGAGGCAAATGTCACACTCCTATTAATTTCAAAGTAAATTAAAAAAAACAATTCACCCAAAATAAAGTTATTGGAACTCTGAATACAAACATAACATGCCTTTCCTTAACTCTACGTGATTTTGGTTTCATCATTTAAAATATCGATACTGGGCAGTTAGTTTTGAGAAAGCAGGCCACCCTGTTCCCAAAAGATCACCTTCACCTGCAGCTTTAAGTCAAGAATTATTTCCATAGGGGAAAACTTTTCAGTTCATAATAGGAATATGGCTTGTGATGAAAATACCCTTGGGGGAGAGATAGCTAATTCACACTGAAGTGTAAAGAATTTGTCCATCTTTTCCTGTGGGGGAAAAAAGCTTTTATGGTTAGAACTGGGCAACTGGATGCCCATAATACCATGGGTGGAAGGAAAGCATGCTCAATACAAAGGACAGGGTCTCGGGAGACACCTATGTTCCCAACTGAACCAAAAGATGATGAGGAGGACTCTCTGTCTCATCAGAGAGCAAATGAATTTTGCACTTAAACTAATTTTTTGCACTTAATTTTAGAGTCACTGGGTTCATGTTGCTTATCTACATTTTTCAGTACCTTTTCTGTTTTTGTATGTTTTTCAAGAGAAGTGAAAGCAGCTTTCATTCCCCCCCAATGCCTAGAATATTGGTTTGAGTGGGAATCACATTTTCTGGAGGTCCTGATTGTCCCAAGGTTGAATGGAGAAGGAAGAGGGAGAAAGAATAACCCAAGCATGAGACTGTGACTGCAACTATGGAAACCTACATGGGAAAAAAGTTGGAAGACCAGACAGGCTAAACAATTACCACAGAGATATGGAAGCCAGGAACCCCTGTACTTGAAGGGCAACTGGGCACACTTTCTCCTGGACCCTTCACCCCATTCAGTTAGAAACTTCTGCTTTGTTCCATTTCTTATAATGTGGTTCCACGGCTAACATGTCTTTAACACAACAATGTTGTGAACAAGAGATACATACATTATATCAATTGCATTAAAAATACAAACATTTTATGACATATGGTAGGTTCCACATGGAATCCACTATGGTAGCCTTTAATATTTTTTTAGTAATTTTAAAAAAGAATCTTAAATTCTTTCACCAGCTGTAAAGTAAAACTGATAGGTATTTTTCTCAAAAAGTCCAAAATAACTTTATAAATGTCTAATAAAACTCTTTTTTCTAAAAGATCCATTCTTTCATGGGACATCTTTGTAGGTTTTGAAACTCAGGCAAATCACCACCTCCAGAATACAGAATCTAAAGTAGAAACAACAGTTTAGTTAAATGTCCAGTAGATAGACCGAAACTCCCAATCTAGAGAAGAGAGCAAAGTCATTTTAGGTACTGTGACTTTCAAAGTTATGATTCCCAAGTGAACCTGGCCCTGTGCTTTTCATAGCATTATATCTGAGTTACTGTTTGACAGTCAGATTCTGCTCCATGTATCTTATCTTTGAGTGACAGGCAATGGACTTTAGATATTCCATAGAGATAAATACTTATTTTGTAGATCTCTACTTTTCAGATACAGGAAGAGAAGAGGCTGAGAATGATACAGCTGTAAGCAACGATGTTCTCACCTTTGTGGATTTTCTCTGTTTCTGGGTACATACAGTGTAATGAATTTTGCTTCATCCTTGGATTTTGATATTTTAGAAGTTTTTATTTCTGAGCAAGAGCTAAATTGAAAGAGGGTAGAAATTCATCCATTCCTTAGTACAGCTATGACAAGGACAATATAGACAACTGGTAGACCACACTTAGCATGCACAAGTTGTTGTGGCCTGTAAAGATGAAGACACTGTCTTCCTTGGAGGTTCACAAACTCATGGGGGCAGTGGGAGTGGGATCACAGGGGCTCTGCCTTTGCTGATTGAGTTGTGTGCTCACTTTTCTCCATGCCTCATGAGATACCAGAGCCTCAAGCTGCCTGGAGAGCATCTTGTTCCCTTTTAGTGTCATTAGAATGTCTGACATAAAATTGGTGGGCCAGGGAATGAACAGATGAGACTGACAAGCAGAGGCAGTTGTGGGGGGTCTGGGCTGCCTACACTGGTTTCTCCTGTGGCTTTGGGGAAGAGGGTTGAGGGGAACAGAAGTGAGGTAGAAAATTAGGAAAGGGTCAGATCGTGATGGTCCCACGTGACTTGCTGGAGACACTTTAACCTGGGGCAGTTGGGAGGCACTGGAAGATTTCAAGCACAAGAGTGACCTGATTGGAATTGGGTTTTGTATCATTTATGGTTGCAGAGGGCAGATGAGAGGCAGGTACGACTGGAGCAATTTTTTTTAGCCTCAGAAGTATTGAGCTTTTGAGCTGTGTAATGCTTTGTTGGGTCTGGCTTGTGCATTGTATGATGTTTATCAGTACCCCAGACTTCTATCTGGTAGATACCAGTAGTACCCCACCAGTCTTGACAACCAAAAATGTCTCCAGGTATTGTCAGATGTCCCCTGAGTAACAAAATTGCTCCCTGGTTCAGAATCACTGGGTTGGAGACATGGAGACCACACAGAAACCATTGCACTAGGCCAGCGAATAGATAAACAAGCTGAATGGAGGCAGTGAGTGGGGCTAGGGAGGAGGTGGGGGATTTATGCTAATAAACCGCAGGCTTGTCAAGATGGAGTCACCGGTTCCATGGCAGTATATGGCCTGTGGACTCCTGTCCAGGTTTTGCCCTTGTCTCCTTGACTTTGACAGTGAAGAGACTTCAACCTCTTTAAAGATGAGACACTTTGAGACACAGGAAGGCTTAAGTCAGCGTCACTCGGGGATTTAGCAGCAAAACTGGTTTTGTTCAGATATAAGTATCTTCTGTTTAGTTAGGTGCTGCGCATCACCTCACTGAGCGTCAGACGTGCAGTGGGGGGGACGCAGACAGCACTTCTCTCCTTCCGTGTCTCTGGTCCCCATCTTACATAGTGGCTCGGATTCTTGTTTGGGGGAGTTGCAAATCACACATTTTGGTTACTGGATCCACAGTCCATTAAGGTTAGCAGAGTGAGTCCTATTAAAAGAGTTCTCTGATGAGGAATTAAAAAAAATGTAAATCAGGCTGGGAGAAGGCAGAATGTCTTACTATAATCTTTGGAGGCCTCACTGCTGTGAAGTCATGGGAAGGTCCTGATGCCAGTGTCACATGTGCCGTGGTGGTGGCATCTCTGCTCCTACCATAACTCTCCAGGGTTACCACCACCCGTTTGTCTCACAAGATTTTTCTCTTCTTCCCAGAACTTCAAGGTTCTCAAAGACAGCTGGGCAGAGCATGATTGCCTGGAGTAGCCCAGTGGCATTCTGGGAGAACGTGTGACCCCATTCACCCATATGACAGCTGGAGGATTAGAGCTGAAGTTGGCTGTGTCTCAGTAGAGAAAAAACAAAATCAGTTCCTAGGCACCACTAAGCAACGGGAAAGTTTTCAGCGTTACCCCCAAGTTGCTCAGTTACAGCATCTGAGTAGATTAGTGCAGTGGACAACTTTGGATGAGAATGGCAAATTGCTTGCAAGCTGCCACTTAGAGCTTTTGAAAGATTCAGGAGAAAGAATTAAGGGTAGTAATTGTTTGGGTAAACGTTTTAAGGAATCATTTATCTGAATAAATTCACATGTAAAATGGAGTAGGGTCTTCACAGTGTAGCTACCAAAATGTTTGTGTGTTTTATTGGCGGAGTATATTTTTCACTATGGAAAAATGCTGGATTATGGTAGAGAGGAGGGTGAAATTAATCATGTGAGATTCAGTAGTTGGAATTATTGACACCCATTGAAGACCATCTTGTTTGCCAGAGCAATGGCATATGCTGGCAGAATTAAACAGGCGGGACACTGTGCATTCTTCCTTTCGGCAGGCAAAACCAAGAGTTGAAAATGTTTGACGCCTTCCTGTGGGCATAATGGAGACACAAGAATGTCTATAAAGGAGCGTCTTGGGGGTGGCAATGTGGTTGGGTAGAGAGTGGCTTGA